AAGATAGTTCTTAAACTATTAAAAGGACAACTTTTTATGATCAATTTTTGGAATTGAATGACAAATATTTTTTTCGATCAATGTGTGTTAGATGCAATTTTGGTTACTCAATAGTTCTTCTATTATGTCAGTAGTATCACCATTAGACCGACATACTATTTTTCACATATTTGCATATTTTTATTAGATAATATCATACTTTCGAAAGTAACATAAACGTAAGTGTGATATTAAAAGTATAAATATGAATTTTTTGTTAAGAACGGATCCACCCGTGTTACACTTTGGTAAAAAGAACAAGATATAATCTCACATTTTTTTAATATGCAAACAAAATGTTGAGGTATTAAATTGATTCCGTCCTATCTAATATCTATCACTCTAGCATACCAAATGAATTGATTGCATACTTTTTTCTATTAAATTTTATTTATAATTTGTCAATCAAAATTAATATAATACAATATTGCTTAATTGGTAAGCTAAAAGAAAAACAGAAAAATGGAAAGTAAAGTAACCCTTTTTTTTTTTTTAACAAACGGAGTAAAATATACCTTCATACACAATAATTTTGGGAAGACTTAAATTATGCAAATTTAAGTAAAAATTTTAAAAGTAAAAAGGGTAAAGAAAAAGGGAAGAAAGAGTGTCCTGGTAATGTTCATTCAGCTCACAACGTCCAAAACCCGGCATCACTCTATTCTGTCTATAAAACAACAAAGTAGAAACCTATTTCGATAACGACAAATATGAATTTGATGCATATCGACTGAACCTTATGTTTATCTCACAAAGTTAAATTTCAATTAATCGATGATAGGCACACTTGAAAATGATTTTTTCCGTCTATTTTATTGATTCTGATTTTGAAAATTTTATAACTGGATTTTTATTTTAATAATAAGTGACTACACTATCTTCCATTTTGAACGTGAGATCGAAAAGTTAATGTTTCAATTTAATTACTAAAAGAAAATAAATACCAGAGCGTATAAGAAATGTATATTAATGTGTATAAAAAATAACAATAATTATGTTATAACTTGTGCGTAGCTTGTGCAAGTAAACAATATTAAATAATAATTATAAATTAAAAATGTAGTGTGATATAATTTACATATATCCGTTTGGTGTGAAATATTACATAAAATATTTTTTTTGTAGATTTCATTGATGTAATATGCCTACAAAATAAATATGAGTAATTGAATAACAATAAAATGACATGCCTAAACTGTTTTTGCTTAAGAAAATATTAATTAAATGTTAATGACTACTAGGGGTGCAAAAGAGCCTAACCGAGTTCGAGCTCATGCTGCTCAAGCTCGATCCCTTAACAAGTTTACATTGAGCTTGAGCTCTGGTTATTTACCAATATTAACAATCCGAGGTCGATCTTTAACAAGCCAAAATCGAGCCAAATTATAGAAAAATGCATAAAAATAATCTTTTCAAGACTCAACAAGCCTTATCGAGCTGAGGCGAGCTCAGCTGGTTAATTGAACGAGCTTTAAATAAGCTCAAGCACGACTCGTTTATCAAACAAATCGAGCCGAGCTCGAGCCTCAATGAACCGAGTTCACGAGTGACTCGTTTAATTTAACAGTTCTAATGACTACATACAACTCCAATTAAATCAAATAGAAAACATTTTTTTTCCGTCTCAAAACTACTCGTATACTTAAAGTAGGATTTAAATCAATATATTGGTAAAATTGTTGGAGTTTTATAGTGACATTAATTTATCAAATTTTATGTGTAATCCTTGGTCTAGAATCAATGACATGTTTAAGATATATATATTCTATTAGACAAAAATTTTATGGAGACATCGTATGATTTTCTTATGGAATTCAAAAGATTGCATAAGATTCTCACCTATGAATTGGTCATATAATGGGAATGTTGAAATGTGTGTGAATCTTGAATTTTTTCAATGATAAAAGGTTATAAAATAAGATATTGAACATAATATTATATATACATATATACATATTGTACATGATGCTAGAATTATTTATCAAAATTACAAATTTATGATGTCCGATTTATATTCTCATATAAATTGGTACATTATTACTCTAATCCAATTAAACAAATAGATGTGAAATATTGGACCATAAATTTGAAATAAAATAAAAAATTATTTATTAAACTTATTTGAAATTAACCAATGAGCCTAAATTTATCTCATTGAATAAATTATGAAATATATTAAATATTTGTTTTGGATGAAAACTTGAAATTAACTTCTTTCATGTGCTTTGTCTCATATAGATTTGGAAAACGTATAAGTTATGTGTCAAAAATTAAATATAAACAATTCTTTTGTATTTCGAAACTATAAACTAATTGGGCATGTCGGACGATCAACCAAATTAGTATTTGATCATGTGCATTTACACAGATATAAAACATGTTTTTGTTTGTATTTATTAATTAGATAAGTACTTCTATCATATAAAAATTATTACTTTTTCTTAAGTTATTTTTATCATTCAAAATTAATTGAGATTTAAATTTTATTTTAACCATGCAACGTTTACATTAGTAACATGAATAAAATGATTTATATATCCGTGCCATATATTAAGAAAATTAACATAAATAAAAAAAATTATTGATGTTTCTGATGTTTAGAAAAAAAAAATATGTGTCAATCATACTTTTTTTTTTTCCAACAATGCAACCAAATATAGCGGTTACAACTCTGAATGTGTCAATCAACGTTAAGTTCCAATATTAGCCGTTACACATTTGAATATTTGCTATCAATTTTAGAATTAATTTAGTAATTGATCCAAAAATTAAATAATAAAAATATATATGTTAAGATATAACGGTTTTAGCGGATTAGTGAGTAATTAATTAAAAAAAATGTAACTCCGTTTGAAGGGAAATGAAAATAGGTTTTGTACCAGCTAGTAATTATATATATATATATATATATATATATATATATATATATATATATATA